AAGGAAAAAATATGGAAATAGAAATAAAGGAGACGTGAAATACGCAAATAATTTAATAGGCGCGTTTATGAAAACAGAAAAAAATTACAATGTATGTATCGTCAAATTAGTAAAAGATAATATAAAATAGAAAACAATTATTAAAAAATAACTTATTATTGCAGTACAATACACTGTGTTTGGAGGAAAGAGTTCAGAGTCTCTACTGTCTCATGAAGGTGTACCACAAGGAGCTGTTCTTTCACCTCGTCTATTCTCTTTTTTTCTGCATGACCTGCCATCTTCCACAGAAAACACTTTTGTGAAGTATGCGGATGACCTCACTGTATGTATGCCTATATCTTCCTCTTTACACCCCATAGAAATGAATGAGTTTTTGTCTCGTATTGATTGTTGGTCTGTTGGTAATGGTCTCATACTTAATCCGTCTAAATGTCAAGCTGTTAACTTTAGCATGAGACATAAACGGAATATAAACACTATTTTGAGATCCCATGGTGCTTGTACCATCGGAGACTCTTTGATAAACTCAGTGTCGAAGGTCAATCATCTTGGTGTCACCTTTTCCTCTGATCTGTCTTGGTCTTCCCACGTTTTATCGTTATCGAAGAAGGTTTACCGTCTGACCTATTACATAAAGAGATTGCATGCTCTTGGAATTACTCGTCATTTACTTTTACAATTTGTCAATTCTTGCATACTACCTATTATTCTTTACTGTTCTCCATTATTCTTTCCCGCGCTTTTGAGGAAAGACTTTGCTGTATTGCGAAGAGTGCTGAAGGCAGTTAGCAAGGTGTGTGGTGAATCTTTCGAGGTCATAATTAATTTGGTTGTGGATAGACATTTAAAATCATGCAAACTCGTGGCAGGTGTCATTTTATCAGATACTAGCCATCCCCTTCACTCTTATCTTTCTCCTTGTATATCTTCTGGTAGAACGAGACGTAATTACATTAAAATCCATGCACGCAAGGAAAAGTACAAATGTTCTATAATACCTTACCTAGCAAATATACTCTGTGACGAACAGGTTGTTAGAGTTAATCTAGCCAATAACCTGCATTCTTAACATGACTTCAATTTTAAATGTTGTACTGTTTTTCAGATATTTTTTTAAAACTTTTTTTGTCTTTGTTACTATTTTTGTTTGCATAAGTAACTTGTTGAAATACCCTGTGCTGAGAATTCTATATTGTACCAAAATATAATATTGAATAAAGCCATTAATAATAATAATAATAAGATATGACGCTAGAATAAAAGCTTGTGCAGTCATAGTTTGGAGCGATGCTATGAAAATCTGCTTTATAGCAACCATAAGCTTAAAAGGTTGGGGAGCATGCTAACAAATGTTGTGATTTGTAGATCATGCCTGTAAAAATGGCGTGTACCTGCTCATGCAGAGGTATATTATTATTGTTAAAAAGTGAAAAGGATAATGAAATATCAAAATGTATGAGTCATATATGCACAGCGAAGATAACAGATGAATGGCTCAGTGAAAACAAAACAATTCGAGACAACTTGGAAATTTATCGTACTGAATCTGTAATCGGTAATACCAGCTATTTATTAACTACACAGGAACGTCCATAAACAAAAGCAAACACTATCATGACTACCAAACCGCGTCAAAGATTCTCTGATTGGCAAGGATGTGATTAACGAAATTTTATAGCAGCTCAAGCTTCGTCGATTTCCACGAAACAGTCGTTAGATACGTGCCTCTGATGACAACAATATGGACAATAATAATTTGTCTGAGACTTCTGGTCCAACACCCGAGACTACACGTCGCCTTTACTTGCTAAAATGTTTGTGCGCTTAGAGGAGGTAATGTGTAATGGACAACCGGGTGTGCACCGAGAGAAACTATTAATCTAGCACGTGATTTACCTACTGTCGTCGACTTCAACTCTCGATTAAATAAATGTAGATTGCTCGTATTTGTATTGAATGAGGTATTGTCCAGCTTATATTCTGATTCTTTACATGTTGTCATAAATCAGACATCTGGAATAACGTAACCTCAGTCTGTGTAATGTATATCAATGGACTATTTAGTCTAGTAGTAGTACGATCTCCATCGGCGATTATTCTGGTAATCAGATATATTCAAATTCAAGTGCTAACTAAGAATTTCCGAAACAGTTCAATTTAAGGCAGGTATGACTGGATGGGCACAAATGAGCGTATTGTATGTAGAATTAGTAATAAGCTTGTAATAGATTGAAGATGAGTCGTTGGATAGTGGAAATACCATATTCATCTCAGGTTAGACGGAAATTCGGATTCCCATAATCTGTTGTACGTCTTCTCCTTAGCTCCATTATGTGTCTGTTCAGCTGTGCATTGGGTATATGCTCTTTATGATCCAGAATGTGCCTATTAGTTTCAGAATAAACAACGGATGTTGTGACAGACTCACCTGGGTCCATGTAAAATATTCGGTCGTTGTGAACGGTTAGCATATGAACCGTAGTTTTATTGACCACTTTTAGAAGACCTTTTGTAGATTGTGGAAAATCAGTACCTCGACGACATGTATCATCGGAAGACTGTAAACATCCCATATTTGGATGAACGTTTCCATTTAAGCGATTCAATCATTGTTTCTTTTGTTAAATCTCTGACAAGTCTACGCCGGAAGATTTCGTCTACTCTCCTCTTCGGATATTTGAATTTTGCAGAAGTAATCAAATGGATTATTTTTTCAAGGTCACGATATTTTCTGCTTGAGGATCATGACAAGCCAGACCTTGTGCAGACACAGGAGAGATGATCCATAATCAGTGATGACAAAGCATGAGAAACACAAAGTTTATGACCAGTAAAACGTTATACAGAAAGCTTGGTCGAATGGTCTTCATCAACACTTCCAGTCATTAAAAAATCATTTTTCATCCTCATTGTTGAAGCAAAAGGCAAACTTAGTATCCATTCCACTTAATAACTCTAGTAATATATGTATGTTTATTCTAATCCTCAAAATGCTTAATTTGAGAATGCACACGAAGGTTATTTAGGAGTTAAAGAAATTGGGTTTATAATAACCAATAATTATTTAGAATAGATATATTTTAATAAGTCACACTAAGATGCACAGAAATAACTGCTGGTTAAGTTAACCTATGGACCATATTAGTATTTCGTGGTTAGCATTAGAAAAACAATCAATTATGTGGAGACGTTAATGTCAGTTTTATTTTTCATTTGAATTTGATAGTCAGTTAATGTTCGTATTCTGTCCGCATGAGTTGACTTCCAATTGCATTTACTTTATTAGGCTAGCTAACGAAACAATAGTGTAACTGCAAAAAGGATAAGTTCTCATTAGAGTTCCGGGCAGTTTGCCAAGTTCAAGTGCTGCTCATGTGATTATAAAGAGGAGTATAGGCTGTAACCAACGGGGTACGAATCTCAATTTATGTCTGTGATAATGACACGAACCTCGGTAAATGTTGGCGTGAATTTGAATATGGTGTTCTCATTGTGCAGAAGATTCGCTCGGCTGATTATACTGATTATTTGCAAGTAGGATCGTGTCGCTAAACATCCAATTAGATTGAAAAGGTTTTAAGCTGGTTACTTAATGAGAAAGTGGTGGAGAAACATAGTAGATAAAGAAAACTAAAAGAAAACAACGACACTTAATAAATCAGTTTAACGACCGAGTTTGTGTTAGTGACTTTGTAGTGACTCATATTTATCACGAGAACACGACTGTTTTAATAAAAACAATTATTATTATGACCAACTGTACCAGTGTTCGTTTTAACGTGCTTTTGTTGGACTGTGCTAATGACAGCTATTTTGTGCTTCCATTCTGATACTCACACTTTTGATTGTAACTTCGCGCGAATTCGGTTACGTTCTGTAACCAAGCTTGTATCCTGGCACGATCTCGGTATCCTTTCGATGCCACGAGATCGCCAGCAAATAAACATCGACTTGGTCCATTAATTGCCTTCTGGTATTTGGCTTCTCGGGGATTTTATGGATCTATTTGGTCACGTCCAACCCTCGCCTTCTGATTTATTTGGCACGTGTTTCTCTGTAGCGGTGTTCATAGTTAATCTCAACTCGACACCACGCTACAATTGGTAATCCTAACTTGAATGCAACTTCATCAGTTTAACCAATCATATTGGGTGATCATCAAGTCATTACAATGCTTCGTGATGATATACAGAAAACACTATGAACAACTATTTAAAGATTTAACTGGTAGTGAGGTAGTGGGTAATGAGTATTTTAATTTTAGATGATTCTGAACTATGAGAAGAGTGTATGGCATAAATTAATCCTAGCTGTCTGATTATATTACAAATCGTAATACAGAAAAATTTGTTCATAAGTGTCAGTTTTGGTAATAGGCCCCATTTCTTATATTGAACTCTTGCTTGGCTGACAACTACGTGACAGTTACGATATTGTATCAATGCAGTATGGTATCTTATTGAGATGACTTCATTATCTTTATTATGTCAAGCGTCTTGAAGATGGCATAGGTATTCAGTGTTTGACAACACTTTTACCAGCAACACCTTCTAATATAATTCGTACCCACCAAGAGTAATCAAAAGACAGAGTCGAGGAGATCGGAAGAGTGTATTTGGCGATATCCAATATATCGGAATTCTCTGATCTAATCTGGCTAGCGACTGCAGCAGATGTTGAGCACAGTGTTACCACACGTGATCTGGTGCGGATGCATGGCCGAGCGCCTTCAGCTAGATGTGCCCACTGAAACTAATCTGGTCAGCATCCAATGGTGAAAACTTACAGAGCTATTTATTTTGGGGATTTATTTACCGCTACAGTCTTTTCAAACAACTTATATGATAACTCAATCTACAAATCCAAATACGCATAACTAAGCGTTAGGTGTGGATCTTTGTAATTCCTTGGACTATATTATAAGACAAATCGAAAAAACCAGGAGCGTCTTTTTAACTTAGTGCGTTACGACGCATCTCGCGGCAATTTAAAGCCTCATGGTCAGTTTGGGAATTACCTCCCTTGGAACCTCATTTTACCTCGATTCTCTCTCTTATTTACATATTTCATTTTTAGATTTCAGTGTTAAGCTTGGTATATAGCACTGGAGTAATTTCTTAATAATACCCACCATTTTGCTAATATGACGCTCCACAAACTTCTAAATTGTGGAAATTTTAAGAAAGCCGCTATAAAAATTTTCAAGGGGAATTTCAAAGAACCTCAAAAAATTTCGCGATTCCACCCAATGTTCTCCCAGAACGTTTGACAACTCTGAATGAATCCATCTGTGTTCTGTGATTAAACCCCAATACTTTACCGCTTTTTGAGAACATTTTGTACGATTTCCGGTTATCTCAAATACTGCACTCGAAAAGTAGCAAAATTACCGATGGCTCAGAAGATGCTGGGGATTTGTTAATAAGTGCCTAATAGTTTCTGTTCATATATTCCATGTTTCCCCTGTTAACTTCACACAGTAAGCGTAGTCGCGAAGCAGTTTAACCACAATTAGTAATAAGAACTGTCATGTCGCGATAAATGAACAATGCCGTAATAAAAAAACTGGTGCGTTATAAATGAGAATGTTTATTAAGGTCTAATAAAGTACAAACTATCCATTAATACATTACTGCTTCAAACTCCTAACAATTGACCATGTGTTTTGGATAAGTAAATTAGGTTGATGTTAAACTGTCATTCATGGTATTCTACAAAAAGAAGAAAATTCTCAGCATTGCAAACGCAGTCTCAAAACAGCCAAGTTGCTTGTAGTAAGCGAAGAAATGTCATAACAATCATCCAACGTATGAATCCGTAATGCCATGTAAAAGGTTGATTACGTACCAACGGTATAACAATAATGTATTCTGAATAAGAGCCTTACAGTTAGGTATGTTAACACTTGCGAAACCAGCTGAAAATCAGGTGGACAAGAAATAATCATTTCAGTTTAAATTTTTATCAGATACAAATGTAAAAACAGAATACGGTAATTTAGTCACAGATCTTAAGTGCATTTAGCTCACCCTTTCTTTGAATCGCCATGCACACTTATTTACTGTATCTTTTGCGTCGTGTAAGAAAGCCTGGCGTTCAACTTTTATGGCTAGTATTATTTCTTTTTCTGGACAGGTTGCACTTCGAAACCGTGAGCACATCTACAAATATATTAAGACTGTGATGTAAACTTTTTTGAATGCCCTGTAGAACCTGTAATTACTGATACTTATTTTACTTTCAGTCCTACATAAGTTATAGGTAATTGCCAGTTCCGGCGTCAAAACGTAAGCTAGATATGCTTTGGTAGATTTCCGAAGATCATTACATACGATCTCGGACAATTTGGTCACCTGAAATTTTATAAATACATGTCACAACTTACAAACTGGTCACAAAACTTGTGCTCATCCAAAGCTGCTTTGTGAGTACGCATTTCCTCAGGTGTTTCCAATGTGAATGCAAAACTTGTAGTGTCTATGCTGTCGCTGTTCCTATCTTTCACGCCCATGGATGAGCTTTTGATGAAAGCAGCTACTTTGTCAGTCTTGTTCGACAGATCACTTATTACTTTCAGTATCATTTTGCTGTCATTATTGTGCAACCTATTGGTATCATGTTTACATTTACTGCAACATACGGTTTACTAACTTCCTTTGAAGTAGATGAAAGTGTTAATGAGAAAACCTCTGTTTTTGATGAACTGCTTTATGAGTATGTATTCATAGATACTTACCTCGCTATTGGTGAAAAGTACCCAGTCAAAATGTTGACAACTGAAAAGTCGACTGGGACGCATGCAGCTTCCATTTTCACAACTACTAGTTCTTCAGAGGTACACAAGTAGTCCTTCATCGTGCGTGCGACAGCCCTAACAATAGATAAATTGCGTACTTTTATCAATTTACCTTTTCGGCTTCTCTGTTCTGCACGACAGCGTATCATCGTCGTGTGCATTTGTGCTTTTCTATCCGAGTACTGTAGTAAAAGATACTTTCAGTTCCTCAGCTGTATGATAGTCATCTGAAAACAATTACTTCAAAGTGGTGTCAACTTATCACAATAATGCAATACAGTGCACGCTCGCAGGAGAACCGACTATCGTAATCGATACTATTAAGAATATCGGTTATAAATTTAGAAATTATAAATTTATTACATTCATGAACTCAGTATCATTTGTAATGACTGCAGAACATTCGTAATTTGTAGAATATTATACAATTACAAAAATTGTAAACCTCGGTCGAACTTTCTTGTAATTCTTATCACTATTTATTATTTTAACACATAGATTTTGGTACAAGGAGGCGCCAAATACATATGCGCCATACAAATCTCATTCGATATGTGTGAGGGCTGGGATACTGCCCGGGTGCCCAGACCGAATCAGGTGGTTTTCTTAGGGGGTCACTCCCCGAGCCTTCGACCTGAAGGTCTAATCCACAAGGCAGTGGAGCATCGTGATATGATGCAGTCCCATGGTAGTCGGTGACCAACGACTGGTTCATGCACCATTTGTTCCTTCAGGATACTGGATCCCATGTGCACCATTGGTTTGGGATCCGGTTAAAGCGCCGGATATTCGCATTTCGTCCGCTCAATTTCGTAAACAACACCCCCACGACGATAAGGCAGTGAGTAGGATTTCTCTGGCAGTGGTTGTATGCACGTGGCCATGTGAGAGCATTTGGAGAGGGAGAGCGGACTCTCCCCACTCTCGGCCGTACCAGGGGATCTATGTATCAATAAGATACATGAGACTGATTCTGTATTAACTTTAAGCTCCGTGCAGATATAGGATGTACATCATTTCAGTAACTTTGGTCTGGGCACCCCGGGCAGTATTACAGCCGTCATACAAGTCCATGATAAATACTTCTGGCTTCACTGTTATTGTGTGGCGCATATGTATTTGGTGCCCTCTGTACCAATGTTCATATGCTCAAACAAATAAATATAAAAATAAAGTTCAATAGCATCTTATATTCCAGTGGGACTCATTTCTCACTGACTAGGAATGGTTCATTTCCAATTATCTAACGCTATGACCATTATGCATATCGATAAACTCAGCTTTTTAAACAAGCCCTGATCACTGGTTTCTTTATGTAGCTACTCCGTACCGGATGTATCTGTCGACATACTAAAATATTTAAAGTTAAATTTTAGACTGTAATTAAGAGTATCGATCGTCTAGAAATGTTTCGTATTTCACAACAGGATTCAGTGTCAGTTTCGCTGACATTTTTTGCTAATGGTTCGAATAATGTCAACATAGTTTTGATGCTTGTTTTCATGAGAATGCGCCGATCAGGTTGTTGAACGAAACGTTACAGTTATTTTCTGTTTCAGTCGCTGAGACTTTAACATATATAATTCTCTCCTATCACTCCATCCTCAGGTACTGTGAAACTATTCGTCCAAAGTTGGGTGTAAGTTCTTATAAAACAGAAGGAAATCTACTATTTTCATCTATTTGGCTCTGTTAAAATATCTTCACTTCGCCACCGAATACTCTAGTACGACCGAGAGTGGAGAGACTCCATTTCATCTCTCTAAATGACCTCTTACACTTTGACTTCTTGTCGAAAGCTAATATCCAGGGCTTTAAACAGGTTGGTGGATACAGAACATTCGCTTAGAGGGGTTGGAAAACTCTGGTGCCGAATCAGTGGTTTACATGGGCTCCAAGATCCTAAGGGAGCGAATTTCGTATGAACCTGTTATTTATTTGAACACATAAATGTTGGTACAAAGGGGCACCAAATACATATATGCCACACAGGTCATCTGATTTGTATGTGAACTGTGATGCTGCTCGGGTGCCCAGACCGAAAGAGGTGGTTTTCTTTGGACGCCATACCCGGAGCCTTCGACCTAAAGGTCTGATCCACAAGGCAGTGAAGCAAATTTAGGAGGTACAGTCCCATGGTAGCCGACGACAAACGATTGGTTTATACGCCATGGCCTGTGACGACCGATCCACCAAATAAGGAACTTCAACCCTGAAGCGCTACAAATCACCGGGCCCAGATGACTTACCTCCAGCTCTTTTTAAAGATGGTGGTGACTTTCTGGTTAAGGAATTGACTACATTGTTTACAAAGGTTTGGGGGCTAGAGAGTGTACCAACGTCATGGAATGAGTCGATAATTGTCCCTATCTTTAAAAAGGGTTCAAGTTGTTTCTGTAACAACTATCGGGGATAAGTCTACTTCCGATTGCGTCCAAGCTATTGGCTTCCGACAGACTTCGTAGGTTGTTCGAAATCCAAGAAAGATTAACTTGCGAGGAGCAGGCTAGTTTCCGTTCTGGTCGAGGATGTATTGATCATATCTTCACCCTCCGCCAAATGTTAGAACACCGTCATACTTATCGCCGGTCAACAATCGTAGTGTTTCTTGACATCAGGGCTGCCTGAGAAGTTTATTAACATTCTAAAAGCCCTATATACAAACATCTCAGGCAGAGCGAGGGCATACAACCACCTCTCTTCACTATTCCATTCAAGCAGTGAGGTTAGACAAGGTTGCCCAATCTCACCATTCCTCTTCAACTTCACCATCGGTGACATTCTGGAAACAGCTCCAATGGATGTAAGTAATGGTGATGTGGATCTGTTGCCTGGAGAAAGACTTCTTGACCTTGAGTATGCGGATGATATTGTTTTACTGTGTGATAATACTCAAGCAGTGTAATCGTCACTTCATCAATTGGTAATTAGTTTCCGTAGGTATGGTATGTGCTTTGGACCTTTGCAGTGCAAAGTACTTCTTCAAGACTAGCAGGATTCTAATCCTGTACTCACTCTGGGTGATGAGCAGATTGAAGTAGTCGAGAAGTTCGTGTATCTAGGTAGCCACATAAGTGCTGGTGGGGGTGTGAGTGATGAGATCAATGCACGAATAGTGAAAGCCAGAGCGGCTTATGCCAATCTGGGCCATCTTTGGCGCCTTCGTGATGTTAGTCTGGCTGTGAGAGGTCGGATCTACAACGCGTCGGTGAGAGCAGTTCTGCTTTATGCTTGTGAAACATGGCCTCTCCGAGTTGAGGATGTTAGACGACTCTCTGTGTTTGATCATCGCTATCTCCGAAAGATTGCTGACATCCAGTGGCAACATCATGTTAGTAATGCAGAGGTTCGGCATCGTGTGTTCGGGCACAGAGTCGATAATGCAATTGGTGTCACCATCTTGAAACACCGACTTCGGTGGCTTGGACATGTTCTACGAATGTCGTCCCAGAGAATTCTACGTCGTGCATTATTTGCCGACTCTGGGACTAGTTGGAAGAAGCGGAGAGGTGGTCAGTGTATGACTTGATGTTGTGCTTCTGACTGCTTGTGTAATATATTTCTTTTTCCCAAACTTGAACTTCGCTCTCTAGTTAGCTGGGCGTGGACGCGTCGGAATAACTAACTTGTCTGCCATTGTGTCACAGAGTCTTCGTTTCGTTCTCAGGTCAGTTGAACTCATAATCTCTTCAAACAGCATCCACCATCTGTACAAAACTTCTCAATAGGCCTGTCTATAAACAGTCTTGTAGTTGTCTGTGCAATAGATCGATCCCTTGACGCAGCAACATCTAATAATTTCGGCTGCTCTATTGATGGTTTTGTAATTCAGTCGTTCTCATATCTAAGCTTTCTAACAGAGCCACCTCTTGTCAATAATGTGATCAATAAAATAGACTAGTTATCAATGAATTAATTATTTATTTAAACACAAACATTAGTACAAGGATGCACTAAACAGATATGCGCCACACAAATCATTCGATTTGTGTGATGACTGGGATACTCCACAGGTGTCCAAACCGAAGCAGGTGGTTTTCTTAGGGGGCCACATCCGGAGCCTTTGAGATAAAGGTCTGGTCCACTAGGCAGTGGAGCAACTTTAGGAGATGCTGGTGACTAACGATTTGTTCGTACGCCATCTTTTCCTTCAGAAGACTGGAGCTCATGTGCGCCGTTGGTTTGTAATCGGGGTTTTCCAACTCTCCGTGTCCTTCAACTCGGTTAAAGCGCCGGACATTCGCTTTTCGTCCGCTCAATTTCGTAAACAACACCCCCGCGACGAGAAGGCAGTGAGTAGGATTTCCCTGGCAGTGGTTGTATGCACGTGGCCATGTGAGAGCATTTGGAGAGGGAGAGCGGACTCTCCCCATTCCTGGCCGTACCAGGGCATTTGGGTTACTGATTAATTAATAGCATTTCCCTGTGTTATGTTCCAAAAATTTGTTTTTCTCTTCATAGTCGAAATTTTAGGTATTTCAGTTTCATGACTGTTTATTCCATCATGTTATTTTGTTTTGGTTACACTTAGGCTAAGTATTTGGTCCAGTTGATTCTATCTGGTGCTCGAGTTTTGGGTCGTGCCTTTGCCCAAGCTGTCAAAGAAGAATATGTTTCAAGTCAAAGAGTTGCTAACGCCCGTCGAAACAATGGGTCTGGTGGTCCTGAACAAAATACTTACGTCCAAAACGCTGGAATCTCACTGGAGGAAGCAAAACAAATATTGAATGTCAAAGATATTCACGATATAAGTACTTTAAATAAACACTATGAACACCTCTTTTCCTCCAACAGTAAAGATAAAGGTGGATCATTTTACTTACAATCTAAGGTATTCATCGGTACATTTTAAAATCAATTTTTAATCCAAATGTCTATTTTGTTAGCTTATTAAACCATGATGGACAAAATTTTGTATAACATACCAAATTTTAAATGCTTACTTTTCATTGTGGTTTTATCATAAAACCGAACCATATTTATATGTATATTTAGTTTGGTCCAAAAGTTATAAATCATCATTGTGGTTGAATATTTCAGATAGTTGCCTAATAAACTTTTTTGTACACATTTGGTATTCTATAGTGCATCATCTCGAATAATTTGGTCAACAGAATTGTCGTCTAGATACTTTTCGTCTAGCTTTGTCATGAGACACTAGTTATTTAAAACTATGCTCTTATCAATGCAATATCTGACTAGCTTTTTATTTTTAATGTTCTGTTACTCTTATTTAGGTATTTCGAGCGAAAGAGCGTATTGATGAGGAATTACAGTTTGAACAGTCGGAACGGCGACGAGATCCAGAATCTAGAAACAATAACCAATCAGGGACTTGAACAAATGTAAAAAATCACTGTTTTTTTATTAGTTCTCTGTATTTAGGAATTTACAGATAAGTCAATATCGTATAAATTTATTGTACAGTATTAGTTGAAGAGAAATTAAAAATAAGCACGATTAATTTTACTTTGTTTCTTTATGGAGTACTATGAAGTGAAGAAATTTTATCGCTACGGAAGTTCTGCTGAATAATAAAGCTACTTTGAATCATAAACGAATATAAATAGCTTCTAATTACTGATTAGAGTTTTCAAGTAACACACTTATTTTCACAACAGTTTCTCATTGTAATTCACTTTGTCATGATGCTTTTTTTCAAATACATAAATTCATACAATGTAAGAATTTAAATTCTCATATTTTAAGCTGATGTCTTGAAAACTTAACAGCATACAAAGGTTTTTGTGGTCAACTATAGGCTACGCTTATCAGAGAAAGTGTAAGACACAAGCAATTATTTTTTTAAAGTACGATTTCTGTGAACTTAAATTCAGATTTATACGTGTGAAATTTCAAAAATACGTTTACTTAGGCTCTTGTTTTTAACAACTCACCTCTAAGTTCAAGTTGGATAACTGAATAAATATTTATGAAGACAGTAAATTCATTCACTGTCCATTCACATATTCTGACATACATGTAAGTCCGTTAGATAACCGTCAGTTTTAAGGAAAATATATTTAATAACGTATCTGCGTATCTTTGGATTATTTCACATTTGCTATATTATAATCTTTCGTTATTTAAATAAAGTACGATAATATTTGCAAAATACAATAAATTCATTGTAATTCCTTGTTTTCTCCTGTGTTACGTGCTAATAGATTTTTGATAGTAACGTACTTATAAATTGAAAGATAAATTGAACATTAGAGAACAGTAACGTGCTTGAAAGGCGAAATTGTGGTAAATTTTAGACGAATTGAAATGGGTATTTATAAATAATTGGAGTGATATGTAAAGTTTTGGATCTTCTCGTTGTTGACATTAAAGACTGAAATTGGTCAGTCTGTTGGTATATTTTCATCCCGAGCAGATTGCCTTGGTGTCAAGTTTCAGTTACCAGTCTTAATATATCTGGATTTCAGCAGTGAATATAAGAAAGTAGGTTTCATCCTAGTTTGTACTTGTTATTCTGAAAAATTGTAAATCTTGGATATAAATTTACGCTCGTCAGACAAGTTAGTGACTATCTAGACTCAGGGGATAACTCGTCCGGTTTGAAGCAATAGTTGAACATCAGTGGTGGCATATTAACATATCCGGCTGTGTCTCACATGGGCTGAAATGTGAATCCCTGATTTTACTGCCAGCTACAGACCAATTATAATCCTTATTCTTCAAACTTCTTTATAACCCTCATTTAGCCCTAGTTAGTAGGTAAACACTCTCAAGGTCAATTTGGCGTCGCTGAAAGGTCGTCGACAAGTGATAGCCTCACCACTTTTCCCCTATTCGTTTGTATGGTTACATTCACATCGAGGTATTTTATGTAAATATATACAAACATATTATGGTATACGACAAGACATAGCCAAAACCTGATTCACTTATATTTGTCACGTTTAAAGCATGGTACTATTTATCAAAACCTACTCGACATCATGTCAGAAATGTTAGATTCTGCCGAAAATTTGCAAAATCACATGGCTTAAACCCTTTGATAAATTTCGATAATGCAATGAGAAGACGAAGTTTATCAGAATTATGTGATATATTTGCGCATTACATTTTGGACAATATCACATAATTCTGATAAACTTAATTCGCAAATAGAATGGAACGTTTGTCATATCTCGCCGCCGGTCACAATTCGACTTTACCAAAAACCTAAACAATGACAGTATCTAGACAAGATGCAAATATGCTAATAAAGACTGACAAGTTACAGCATTTAGTTCTAATTCTTACGGACGGGACGATATATTTAAGTCAAAATTTTACCACTAGTGTGCCTGTAGACCCTTTTAGTTCAATGTCTAGTAAATTAACAGGTTTAATATAACTTCAGGTGGATTCTTTTGGTATTTGTAAGTGAATAATATAGAAATTGGTACAACTGGACTGTAACTCACAACTTGCTATTTATCAAAGTATTTTTAAGAAATCGGTAATCTTATGTGCATTTAGTGTATTCATAATATAACGGTATGAGTAGCGATACATAAATCTTCGGTCGTGTTTAGCGAAATAACCAATTAATTTAAGCATTTAAAGGCAGTTTCATGAATCTGACACTAGCTGATATTATTATTATATTGTGGTGGTTGGTACAATACCAAGCCCACTTGGGCTATTCTAACTTTTAGACAGACCAATTTATCGATTCTCAAGCTACATTTTGACCTTGTTTATCATTCGCTTACTAACCTTGGCTGTTTTTCTGTGATCATATGCATATAAATTGCTTGCGCTATTCATTAAATGTCTGTAACTTATTTTTGTTCGACTATATATATCGAGTCAAGCTTGGTTAAACCGAGTTGGTTCACTCGCCCTTTCCACTGCGCGTCATTTCGCTTCGTCTCCCTGATTGTCTGTTCAGATCAATGAGTGTACGAAATATATGTACTCAAACTTATTTTATTCCGCTATTAACTGACGCGATTTAAACCGATGAAAATATACGAGGGCTGGCGACAGGTATATTTTGGCAACAATTAGCGCACGATTAAACTGGGGTCAGATATAAGGCCACTAAAATACGATAGTTAGTATTGGCATAATTGGCTTTAATGACATATCAATTAGTCGCAGTGAGACAAAGTTCGTTGTGTGCATAGGTACATGTAAGAAGCAATGCATACCCAACACAAATGTGCTAATCACTTATTTTGATTGATAATATGCTATGACTAAAATCTATGGAGTCATCTGAAAATGGACACGAAAGCTTTTGTTTTAGTGAATGCTAATTAGCTGGAGAAAAATCACTATAAAACAGGAAAATTGTAAACCTTATCAAGTCTGATCACATGCTAGAAATATCCCCAGAAGCGTAGAGCATAGGGGGAATTTGACTTCTCGAATAGAATAAACCTATGTATATTAGAATTATAATTCCATTCTTAAAAGTGTGATCTTATTGGTAATTTTCAAAAGGTCATCATTTCATTATACAGACAAGCACTGGCAAAACCTATATGAATTTCATTGTTTGTTCGTATCTTCGTACACGAAATTGTGTAGTGTACGATTTTGTGATGTGAGATATGTTTCTCTTGAGGTCCTTCATGCTTTTATGCCCCAAACTGGAACGTATGAGATGTATTATTCTCATCAATTTCTGATGACTTATATGTTCGTGCTCTGTGTTGATAATTTGCGACTCCAAAATCAATGTCGTGAATAAGACTACCTCCTATTCTTTTCGCTGTTCCACTAACTATAGTAGAAACATCAGTTCATTAGATGGTTTTTGACGTAGAGTAAAATCAATCAAAATACATTAAGTATATCGATTTTATATCCATAGAAAGTGATCAGAATGTTTAATATATGGGAATTCCATGAACAGTGTTCAAACTGAATACTTCACTGTAGCAGAATTTTGACCTAATTTGTTTGCTTCCCATAAGTTTCAATTTTATATTGTATATCCCTAATACTTAGATTGATGTTAGCTCGTGGTAAAATTAACCGGCAAGAAAGAATAGTTACACTAGATAGCAATTAATAAATAAATTAAACTATGGGAAGGATCGATCACTTGGTTAGACGAAATTAAGCAATGACTAAAAAGACAGCAAACGTCTGTGCATTAAATTGGCGATTTAACCATTATTTCCAGTGACAACTGTTAATTGGATGCTAGAAAGTTATTACTAATAGAATGTACTGTAGTGTGTATGTTAGTGTACATTTCTATTGAGGTGTGCTACTGATGTCGACAGATATAAGTAGTATTTATCGCCAATTGAATGTATAATGCCTAAAGGCAGATGGTTAGGAAGATTGAAAAAAAAGAGAACGAGAACAGAGGATGATTGGTTTGGAAAAGAAAGAACAAGAAGTCTGAGATGATTGACACTTTGCAAATTAAGTATTTACTGTATAGTTCTCAAAATTTACTAGGACGTTCTGTAATTTAGTGTTCAAATATCTAAGTTGTCCTCTACTTGTGTTCTCGTTCACTACACTACGACCAGACAGTTTTCATTGCCTTCTTTTAGTTCTCGATTTTTTTCAATAACTAGGAAGCGGATTTGTGGATTAAATAATTTGAAAAGGGGTAGTCACTAAAACCTGATTTAAATTTAGATTACAATTATACGACTGGGAGTTTCCTGTATGAATTTTATATGGTTTAGTTAAATCTACTTTGTAGCGTATATCTGTTTCATTCAAATCGAAATTTATTTTTTCACAGTTGATCTGTCATTTGTTCATTGTGTATTTGTTCTGTTTATTAAGAGGACAGCATTTGGCTAGATCGATAGTATGATAGTTAAATACAGGCCATAAAGTCTGAAGTGACTTTACAATACACTAACCGTTAATTTCTACACATTAAGGGTTGATAAACAAATAGAAAACGTTATTTAATACACGGTTAGCTCTAATTTAACTTTTAGTTATCTTTTTCTGTATATGCAAGAACATATGCTGATGACCGAAAGAAAAAATTAAGCCTGATATTCAGGTCTTAGTTTTATCTAACGCTGAGTGCTCTATACCAATTATATTTTATAATCCTTCCTTAAATGATATTGAAATAAGTACTTTGTCTATTAATGTAGTATTTTGTTGTATGAGACTACATTCTTTGATGAGAAGTTGTTTATCTCTGTTTATTGAAGCATTTGTAATAAGATAAATATATTCAGACAATTGTCCGCACATTTACTTAGTTCGACAAGCAGTTTCTAGCTTTTATAACAAAGGGTGACCATAAATATGTAAACTGTTGAACAATCGTTTAAATGTATCAATATATTTGTAAATATGACAATATAAATAAAATATTTGTATTAAAAATAATCATCTATTCTTGTAGCAAATAAATAAGTAGTTGAAAATTTATAAACAAAATAAAATAATATAAAGTTAATAACTGAGTAAATTTTAGTATAACTAATTTTATAGAACTAAAAACAGAACATTTGTCACAAAACATTTTCTAATCGTTACATGGGTATTTCATTTTTCACTACATTAATTTTGATTAGTAGGATATTAAAAAGGGTGGAATGTGGGAAAAAATAACTGGTGGATTTATACGTGAATAGATTGGTAAATTCTTGTTATGTCAGCAAATAATTTTTTGTATAAATCGATAGAATCCTAGAAATAAAAAAAGGATCAAACGGTTGCTTTATTTTTTCTAGTATGTAATTTCGAATTTTTTTTATATTATTAAATAATAATGGTTGATTAATTATTTTTGATAAAACGGATAACTAGTCCAAATGTCACTCACCGGAAGTCACTGTATGTACGGTACCCATATCCTATTCAGAGTTAATGTGAGTTCCTATTTTTACTGCTGAAGGATTTTAAAATCATATAAAAAAGCTGTTTAACATTATTGAGCGAAACAATCCCAGGCAGGTTACCTGGTGTTTTAAGGTTTCATAGTGTTTGGGAAATGCAGCCGTGATCGTAGTGTTGTGAATGAAGGGATTATTAAGGTGACCAGATTTACCGTTCACGTAACTTTGTCTATGCATGACCTTAAGCATAAAGCTTTCTATACATCCTAAAGCTCCTCATTGTCCCATTACTGGTTGATTCGAGCGTTAGAAAGTGTTTGAATTGTTATCGAATTCTATTACTTACTTACTTACGCCTGTTACTCCTCGTGAAGGAGCATAGGCCGCTCACCAGCATTCTCCATCCAACCCTGTCCTGGGAAATCATTTCCAGCTCCTTCCAGTTGTTATTCATCCTTTTCATATCTGCTTCTATTTCCCGACGCAATGTTTTCTTTGGCCTTCCTCTTTTCCGCTTCCCTTCAGGATTCCAAGTTAGGGCTTGTCTCGTGATGTAATTTGATGATTTGCGTAATGTATGTCCTATCCATTTCCATCGTCTTTTCCTAATTTTCTCTTCAGCTGGAAGCTGGTTTGTTCTCGCCCACAAAAGGCTGTTGCTGATGGTATCTGGTCAATAGATGCTGAGTATTTTGCGAAGACAGCTATTTATAAATACTTGTGCATGTTTGATGGTGGTTGTTGCAGTTCTCCAAGTTTCAGCTCCGTACAGTAGAACTGCCTTGATATTCGTATTGAAGATTCTCACTTTGATATTGGTTGAAAGTTGTTTTGAGTTCCATATGTTCTTTAACTGAAGGAATGCTGTTTTTGCTTTGCCAATCCTTGCCTTTACGTCTGCATCTAAACCTCCTTGTTAATCGATTATGCTTCACAGGTATGTGAAGGATTCTACATCTTCCAGAGTTTCGCCATCAAAAGTGATTGGATTGCTGTTCTCCGTGTTGTATTTGAGGACCTTGGTTTTCCGCTTGTGTATGTTGAGGCCTACTGATGCAGAGATTGCTGTTACACTGGCTGTCTTTATCTGCATTTGTTCGTGTGTATGCGATAGGATGGCTAGGTCATCTGCGAAATCCAAGTCGTCTAATTGATTCTGAGCTGTCCATTGTATTCCGTGTTTTCCTTCAGATGTCGATGTCTTCATAATCCAGTCGTCCACCAGGAGAAAAAGGAAGTGAGAGGGTAGACAGCCTTGTCTGACTCCAGTCCTTACTTGGAATGCATCTGTCAGCTGTCCTCCATGCACGACCTTGCACTGTAGTCCGTCGTATGAGTTCCGGATAATGTTGACTATTTTCTCAGGAACTCCGTAGTGTCGAAGAAGTTTCCATAACGTCCTCCTATCCACACTGTCAAATGCCTTGTCATAATCAATGAAGTTGATGTATAGTGACGAGTTCCACTCAACTGATTGTTCGACGATAATCCGTAGTGTTGCAATTTGGTCTGTGCACGATCGATCCTTACGGAATCCAGCTTGTTGATCTCGAAGCTGGACGTCTACTGCATCTTTCATCCGGTTCAGCAACACTCTGTTGAAGACCTTCCCTGGTATTGACAGTAGTGTAATGCCTATGTAGTTCTCACATTTGCTCAGATCTCCTTTCTTTGGAATATTGACGAGGTGCCCTTCTTTCCAATCCATCGGCACTTGTTCCTCCTCCCAAATCTTTTTGAATAGAAGGTGAAGCATGTTTGTAGTTACTTCGATGTCTGACTTCAGTGCTTCAGTTAGTATGCTGTCGGGTTCGGATTCTTATAAGTTACCTTTGGATTTTTAATGATCATTGGACTATTCATTACTTTTCTAGAAAATAATTTTTCAGCAAAACGCAAATAAAATTTAATTATAAATTTCATTAGGTACTTACTTACCTGTTACCCCTTGTGAAGGATCATAGGACGCCCAACAGCATTCTCCATCCAACCCTGTCCTGGGCAATCCTTTCCAGTTGCTATTCATCCTTTTGATGTCTGCTTCTAATCCTTAGAACAGTGTGTTCTTTGGCCTTCCTCTTTACCGTTTGCCTTCAGGATTCCAAGTTAGTGCTTGCCTCTTGATTCAGTTTGATGACTTCCTCAATGTATGTCCTATCAATTTCCAGCGTCTTTTCCTAATTTCCTCCTTAGCTGGGATCTGGTTTGTTTTATTCCACAGTAGGTTGTTACTGATGATATCCGGTCAATGGACATTGATTATTATTGTGTAGACAATTGTTTATAAATACTTGTACATTTTTAATAATGGTTATAGTAGTTCTCTCTTGGCGTTCGTATTGAAAATTCTGAATTTGATAATGAGTGACAGTTGTTATGAGTTCTATATGTTCTTCAGTTGTCGGAATGCTGCCCTTGTTTGGTAAATCCTCGCCCTTATGTCTGCATCAGATCCTCCTTGTTCATCGATGATGCTCCTGACCACCTACATGAAACCACCCACTTCATCCAGAGTTTCTCCATCAAGTGTGATTGTGTTGGTGTTTTTCATGATGTATTTGAGGATCTTGCTGTTTCCTTAGTGTATGTTGAGGCCTACTGATTCAGAGCCAACTGCTACACTGATTGTCTTGATCTGCATTCGTAGTTGCATCCAACCTGCCCATTGTATTCCGTGCTTCACTTCAGATGTGGAGGTCTTCATATTCAAACCGACCACCAGTAGAAAGAGAACGGGGGAGATTAAGCACCTTGTCTGACTCCGATCATCACTTTGAATGTATTTGCCAGCTGCCCTCCATGTACACTTTGCACAATGGCCGATCGGATGAATTCCGTATGATGTTGATGATCTTCTCAGGTATACCATAGTGTCGAAGAAGTGTCCATAGTGTTCCCATATCCACACTGTCAAATGCTTTCTCATGCTGAAGAAAGTTTATGTATAGTGACAGGTTCCATTCAATTGATTGTTCAACGATGACCCATAGTGTCGCTATTTGATCTGTGAATGACCGATCGTTACGGAATTCGGTCTGTTTATCTCGGTGTTGAGCGTCTACTGAGTCTTTCATCTGGTTCAGCAACAATGTTGAAAACTTTTCCTGGTACCGATAGTAGTGTGATGCCTCTGTAGTTCTCACATTTGCTCAGATCTCCTTTCTTTGGTGTCTTAATGAGGTGTCTTTCCTTCCAGTCTGTCGTAACTTGTTCTTCCTACCAGATCTTCCTGAATAGAACGTGGAGTACGCTTGCAGTTACTTCTATGTCTGACTTCAGTGTTTCGGCTGGTATATTGTCAGGTCCAACAGCTTTCCCACTCTTGATTTTTCTGGTGACCATCCTGATTCTTTCGATCGTTGGTGGGGTGACATCTATAGGAAGGTCTGCAGGTCGTACTTCGATGTCCGGTGGACTCAACGAAGCTGGCCTATTTAAGTGTTTTTCAAGGCGTTCCACGCATCTGTTCCCCTGTCCTTGAATCTCAGTGATTGTCTTGCTTTCTTTGTCCTTGACCGATCTCTCTGGTTTACTATATTTCCCTGCTAGTTCCTTCGTTGTATCATAAAGCTGTTAAATATTTCCTTCTCTTACAGCTTTTTCAGCGGTTGTTGCTAGCTCCTCCACGTATTTCTGCTTGTCAGCTATAATAGTATTATTCACTTGCTTGTTTGCTTCAGTGTATCCAACTTGTGTCTTCAACGTCTCTGTTCTTGTTCGACTGTTGTTAATTACTGTCTTCTCGTTCTTCTTTTCTTGAATCTTGTCCAGGGTTTCCATAGAGATCCATTCCTTAAGATGACACTTGAGGCCCAGAACTTTATATATTGGAGTTAATGCTTCTTTGATCCCTTCCCAGTTGTCCTCCATAGTAGCCGCCTCTTCTCTGGGTAGATCTTGTAGGGCGTGGAACCTGTTGTTGAGAGCTACCTTGAGGTCGTTGAGTTTGTCAGTATCTCGAAGGAAGGTTGCATTGGATTATTGTAATACTGTTTCTTCAGTTGTCCAATTTATTTGAACACATAGATATTGGTACAAGGAGGCACCAAATACATATGCGCCACACGAATCTCATTTGATTTGTGTGAAGGTTGGGATACTGCCTGGGTGACCAAACCGAATCAGGTGGTTTTCTTAAGGGGCCACACCCGGAGCCTTCGACCTAAATGTTTGATGCACAAGGCAGTGGAGAATCGTAAGGAGATGCAGTCTCATGGTAGCCGGTGACCTACGATTGGTTTATACGCCATTTGTTCCCTCAGGATACTTGAGCCCATGTGCACCACCGGTTTGGAATCAGGGTTTTCCAACTCCCCTAGGTGGACTCTCCATGTCCATCAACCTGGTCAAAGCGCCGGACATTCGCTTTTCGTCCTCTGAATTTCGTAAACAACACCGCCACGAGAAGGCAGTAAGTAAGACTTCCCTGGAGAGGCTATATACGCTTGGCTATGTGAGAGCATTTCGAGAGGGATAGTGAACTCTTCCCACTCTTGGCTGTGCCAGGGCAGTTGGGGGCCAATGCTTCTCTAGCATTATTTTCTTCTGGGCAACCACTATTTGGTGATGATCTAAAGCTATGTCAGCTCCCCTTCTGGTTCTCACGTCTTCCAATGACCTGAATGTTTCCCTGATGCAGATACGATTGGTCTGATTCTCTGTGATGTGATCCAGTGAGATACATGTAGTTTTCTGTATGCATTTGTGGGGGAATATTGTATCGCCTATAACCATATTGTCGAACGCAAATAAATTTGCAAATCTGTCACTATTCTCGTTCCTTCCTCCCAGTCCATGTCGTCCTATGTCATCTTCATTCTCGATGTTGTCCAATCTGACCTCGGCGTTTAGGATCCTCATCAGGATGGTCAGGTGCTTTTCTGAGCTCTTCGCTATGTTTGATTGCATCCTCTCTTAAAACTGATCTTTATCGTCATCCTTTCTATTATTGGTTGATGCATAACACTGATAATATTCATTGTGATCTCCCTCTCTTTGTTTTTTAGGATGCTTTAATGATCCTGGATGCATGGAATTATCATTCCCGGTGCCCGAAACTCCTTGACTTGGGCTTGGGACTGACAGTAACCCTAGAAGTGCTACAGGCGGAGCTTATTATAACTCACAAGTTGGAGCTTGCAAGTTTTCTAAACAACAAGGGATAAATTTATTGTAATTTTAAGTATTACACATGAAGCAGTAATATAATATATACTTACATTAGCAAACTATTTGGAATTAGATTTTATATCGTGTTAGCAAATTTTAGTGGACAGAATCTGTGATTTGTGCGTGTGAAATGACCATAAATTTGCCGTGAAATGAATTTATTTGAACAGTAGTTCATATCTCTTTTCGTGTATCCTTTTCTTGGTTTTTAGGCAATTTATGTAAATGAAAAGTAAGGAAGAGTCTAAATGCAAAAACAGAAATACCATGGATGTTCATTAACACGAAGACATATGAGTATCTTAGAAACATATTTCGTAGATGTATAAAAAATGAAATTAAGAGTATTGTTATTTCATCGAACTTAGTCTTCAAGAAGTTATAACGACTGCCGTCTAGTCTTACATATGAGCCATCTGAAAATTAGACCTAGAGTAAAACTTACTTCGAAAACGTGCATCTTGATCCGAACTAGTAATTATCATCATATTTGGAAGTTTTCATTCTAGGATAGTTTCCATACAATTTTCAGTATAAACGGGTGTGACATATTGGGTTATTAAGTGTTTCTGATGTTTCATCTACATCTTCAGTGTCAAATACAATTCCATTTAATGAACCAATTGCAAAATAAAAATATAAGTGATAAATGCCTGTCTAGAAATTCAAACAACAGGATAGTTTGGCCAAGAGATCTTTTTTGTTGATCTGCTTTTTAAGGTTGAACAATATATATGCATATAACTTTCGCGATAATATTTAATTGTCATTCGCCACTAATAATATCTATTTACAATGTGATTTTTCATTGGTGTTTTCATCTAACAAGGCTTTTTGAGGTATACAATACTATGTGGTGAGGATTTAAAGTTAATTTTCGGTAATGGGGTTGTGGAGATTATTGAATTCCATAAACCGATAAGTGATAGACCGCCACTGAGAAGTAGTTGGCGTCCGAATATAGGACTCTTCACCTGTGGGAAGCCACGATCCAGCACGCGAGATTCGAACCCAGGACCTTCGGTCTCGCGTGAATGCCAGAGCTCCCAGGTTTTCAATGTTGATCAAACATTGTTCAGTTAATTATTTCAATAAAGTTAGTCTTGTTCAAAGTGCATGGTTCTCTTTGGGAAGTTATTTTCCATCAGCCACCACATTGAAGTGATTAGTGGTTGATGAAAACAAAAATAATTTCAGATAATGACTTGAAATAGCGTACCTTGACGGTTGTGGCTTATTTCGGCGATTAGCAGATGTAGGCCTACTCTTTGTTTGCTCATCCAACTGCTTGGCTTCATAACTAGTTGAATATAATGTAGTGAATCTGTTTTGATCAAGTGAACGTGGTTGTTTTAGATAATCAGCTTTCCAATTCTTAAAGGAATTCTTATCATATCTTTCTATTGAACATTTCGGGATATGCATTAACCAATCATCTGTTGTACTAACACTTAGCCATTGTGCCATAGTTTCAGATTCAATTTTACTAAATACACTTTTTGTTAAAGTTGGTTGCGATGTAATCCATCGATAAGCCGTTATTGAAGGCGTTAATCCTGGGTGTTTCATTTCATTATATGGATTTGTCAGATTTGGGACGAGTTTTTCAACTATTTGATTATCTGTTCTCATACAAACGTCTGTTGATACAACAGATTCGCATTCTAATTGGTCGTATTCTGAGGAACAATCAGTGGACATTATAAATGCTAATTAAATTAAAAAAAGCCATAGAAGGGTTTATGCTTTTATAAGAACAAAGATAAGGTAAAAAACAAATTGGCACTTATATTTAGGCAGTTAGCTAATGTACAGTAAATGTCACTAAGAAAAGACAACTCATGAATTTATCTTTCATCATGCGATGTCACAATCATTATCCTCCAAAATGTTCGATACGATTGAGACAGTTAATATATATACTTATTGGTATCTGTTACAATATTTTTCAGCAAATAACTAATTACACTCTATAGCGTGAAGTTATGTTTATGAGCGAAAGCTCTAATGCTGAATGACGGTAAACGAGTGGTATCTTCGACTATTGAAACTTCCATTGCCGAGTCTCGTCTCTTGTGACGTTTTTAGATGACTTTCTGGGGAACAAGGGGCGAGTATGCCTGTATTATTCGGCGGTCATCAAACCCGGCCTATGAAAGTAGAAGACATTTACAGATTTATACAACTTGATTATTGATTCTTTCGAAGCATTACTGACACGCAGTGGAACAGTGGAGTGAACGACATAGAGGTCTATAGTAAGGTATTACGTAGATATTAAAGGTAGATCAATGATGCATTAAACCTACTGGAGTAGTCAGGGTGGGCATTATTTGTTAACCGTTATCGCATACCTAGATGTGTAAATACGGTCAATCTAGGAGTATATTGGAAGGAGCTACTGATGGCCAGATCGAGAAATGACATCAATCTATGAAGTTACTGACCATTAGTCTGGTCCATATTGGTAGATGAGACCATTGTTTTGGACCACATCATAATCTAAACAATTAGTTAGGACGTTCGTGTGTCGTAATTCATGACCGATCGCGGTTATGTATTTGAATGTATTCTCTATCTTATGAGTGCGAGTTATTTGTCATCCCCAATACTGTATTCATCGATCCTAAATCATAATTTGAAACTGCATTTTTGTGGTACAATATACATACCACAGGACTATGTGGATATTAACCTGATAATTAGCCTATTATTTGAAGACCATGGGTTGGTTAGTTTATCTTTAAGCATGTCATTTGCAATGCATTAAATGTGATGAAATTCTATTTGATGTCATTGTTTACTCAAGCATCGGTCAAAAACCCTGATTTGTTCTCGTTTATAAATACATTTCTCAGAACTGCATTCTGTTACCACATACATATGTGGTAAAATTTTATCATGTTTACTCATGTGTTGTTACTTTGAAGTAATTTCTGTCTTTCAAATATTATTTGGCCTATGAACAAACCGTTTGCAGCCATTAGTGGATTAAGTTAGAAGCAGGTACTTATTAAAGCAAGCAAGTAACTTTTCAATGAAGAACTATTCATGAATCCTGCTAAATTTGTGGACATTCACCTAATGAATGGTGCTCAGTGTCGTACAGAATGTTAATAAAGGACAATCTTATTTCGTTCCACGGGATTAATTACTGAATACATAGTTATTCGCACTCAATAGAAATGCAAAAGGTCTGCAAATCCGGGATCGCATAGATTGCGAAGAGGACTAGATCTTTCTGGGAGGCAAAGTCGTGCAGTATTGCGTTATGGTATGATTATACCAGATATGGTTGTTACTTAAGACTTTGATTCAGTATTGTTTTGAAGTTATCAATGCCAAATCGTTTCAATGTCAGCACGAAAAACGTTTACGTGTATGACAGGCTATCATGTCACTTTAAAAAATCGAAAAGGGAAATTGGTGATTTTACGCAGTGAACACAATTGTCAGAAAACCAAAAATTCAATCACCAACCACCAATATACCTCTTAAGAAATGTAAGCTAATGAAACTGATAACGGCTGCAGTCCAGTAAACTATCCGAAAGTCAACATTCCCTTGAACAACTCGACGACTACCAGATATTAATTCATTTATTTGGTTTATACGCATCAGATCTTCCCAACTGGAATTCATTTCACTAGTTAACTGATCTACTGTACAGCCAACACTACGTACTGTATCTTACAAGCATGCTGTATCAACATGTATATGTATACGTGGAGTGTCAAGGTTTTGGCATACAATTAGGTAGTTGCCTGATGGACTCTACAAGTCGAAGGTTTGTCTAAAGAAGCCTCCTATCAAAGGTAAATACGGAATAATATACGGCATCGGATCACGGTCACTGCGGTTTTCAATTTGTACAGCTGAAAAGCCAGGTGTTTTGAAGTGTGTCAACGAATGATAAATTTCATGTTCATTTCGTAGGTTGTAGTTTCTGTTTTAATACACTTTAGGTGAACAAACTGTCGGAGATATGCGATCATCCTCGTAAAATCACAAGATTGGTGCTTGCTTACACTCCGTCATCCCAACCAGCAATTCAAAGAGAATTGGATGGAACAAAGAACAACGTCGAGATGAGGGATTACCGCTTTTTCAACCTGCCACATAAACATACTTCACTATAGTTTACGTCATTTTCAGTTAAATGCATACAACATTTGAAAAGTAATTATAATTCACTCTCATGTCGTGAACAAATCTGTATATATATCATATTCCCCGATAACAGTGACTAATGTTATCACTCTAGACTTCTGTTTCAGAATATCACAGGCTCAAGTGGACAGTCTTAATGGATATTCAGCCTCCAAACCGTTTCTGGTTTGTAAATACCACTTATTTATTTTGATCAACAACTTCATTTATAACACGAAAATTTTATATGGCCAAAAACAACATTCAAGATGTAAGATATGAGAAGTGTTAAAGAGAAACAATACCTGTATAATGCTTGGTAACGTGTGGATGTAAGATCGTTCAACAAAACAGTTTTGAATGCAGTATCAAGCGGTGAATACGTTGCAAGAAAAACTAGATTTCAGTGAAGCAAACAATAAAGCTTCTACACAGACCTAGTTTAATAGAGAACATGATTACTCTTCAGATTGTCGGCGTCTGTTGTGTGATATTACAAGAAACATCCTTGAAGTATACTCCAAGGATGTTCATACATATCAATTTTATGCAGAAAAATGGTAGCGTTTGCGATATCAGCAAAAATACTTCACCCAAATTCTTGGCGTAGTGAAATTTTGAGTGGGTGTTGAAAAACATTTTTAACCAGCGATATGTTTGGGCTTTTCATGTATCAAGTCTTAGCATTTTTCCAAAGCACATGAAAAAATTCGGAAGAGTTCCAACATCTTTTGAGTGGAACTGTCTCACATTTGATCAATTTTATCCCAGATTAGGGAGCTTCAGGTTCATGTGAGTATTTACATCTTCTGATTCGACTCATTTTATGTAAATATATGCAATTATTTTGTGGTATGCGACAAGATATATCCAAAACCTGTTTCTTTTATATCTGTCGTTTTAAATACATGGCACTGTTTGTCAAAATCTACTGAATTATTATGAGCATTTCTATCAGTTGACTGGAACCACTGTTGGAGTAAATCTTCGATATAA